GGTTGTGCGTTGAACTGTGATCCGTATGGTCGGCAGTTCAAAACTACTAGCAGCTCTGAGGGAGAAAGACTGGGCTTTCTACTCCAGGAAACAGTTACAGTCTTTGGAAACCCACAGCTGGGTCACTGTGATTCAGCACTGCCTTGATGGCAGTGAGTTGAATTATAAAACTGTCTGAGCTAGGTATTTTGTGGTTGGATTTTAAACTGCAGTTAAATATCTTCAATGTTTCTCAAACTTATCAGGTTTTCTGTTTCTTCTCTAGACTATTCTGATGCAGTATCTTTCTCTAGAAATTTGCCTCATTTTATGTTTTCAGATTTATTAGCATGAGGTTGTTCATAGTACCACCCCTCGTTTTTCAGTTTCTTTAGCACCTTTTAATATCCCCATTATATTTTAATCTTCTCAATTTTACCTTCATATATCTTGTAGAAGATTTGTCTCTTTATTGTGAACTCTTGTTTGATGAAAATTCTTGAGGCTCAGGCACATGCTTATAAAAAACATTTCTGTTTGCTTTTGCTAAGCACCTGTGGGCACTGAAACCAGGAACCATTTTTTAATAAATTCTTGGCTTGAGTTTTTTCAGAACATGTAAAATGTAAGATCATATTGCAAATCCATGTATGGGACAATATTGAGTTATGAATTTTCAGAAGTTTGTTGTTGAGACAGTCATCTTATTTAGTGGAATTTCTTTGTAAGGAGGGTTACTTTCTTTTCTAACTGAGAGTGTAGCCTTTCTTGGCCCTGGTCCCATGTTGAGTAGTCATTTTAATTATCACCATAATATGCTCTAATCCTTCATCTTTCTCCCTTTCTCAGCCATAGCTGTTAAAACCAAATGTTGGTTTTCTAGGGATTAGCAAGTGAGCTCTGAACAAATGCCAATGTCACTGCACATTTACCCCTCTGGTGTATTGCTTTTGATTTTCAGGGTCTTTAAGGGAGCACAAGAGGTCTTTAGCCGAGCACTGATGGTGCAGTAGTTGTGCATTGGGCTGCAATCCACAGTCAGCAGTTCGAAACCACCAGCACCTCAGTAGGACAAAGACTGGGCTTAGTCTCTGAAAGCCACAGAGTCAGCATTGTGAGTCAGCATTGACTAATGGCAATGAGTTTGAGATTGGAAGAGGCCTTTTATACTCAACTCAACAGTGCCTTAAAATTTATAATTAGAAAATATTTGATCTAGTGTTTTTATTTGTGTTATAGTGGAAAGGTTTGGGGTAATTATATCTAGACTTTATATTTAATTTTTACATTTTCAACGTCAAAGTCATCTTGGTCATGTTGTGCAGGTTTTAACTTAGAAAATAATATCAAATTTGTATAGGTACTAAACTAATTCCTAAAATGTTTTCAGGGATCATAAATGAAATCACTTTCCATTCCAGACAAGGATCCTGAATATACTCTTCAATTATCACAATAACAAATTATAGTTTTAATATTTTCCTTGGATTTCTAGTGGGGGAAATCACTTAAGGTCAAGCCCTGGACTAAAAGCTTTATGTAAGTTATATCACTTAAAATATAATGTGTGATGGATGGATGGATGGATTGTGATAAGAGTTGTACGAGCCCCCAATAAAGTGATTTAAGAAAAAGAGAGAGTTACAGTCCCAAGGGCTCAAATAGAAAGTAAATGTTTAGAAATTGATGATGGTAACATGTGTACAAATATGCTTGATACAATTGATGTATGGAATGTTATGAGAGCTGTAAGAGCCCCCAATACAGTGATTTAAACACACACCCCATATATATCTATATATGTGTGTATAATGTGTGAAGTTGTAGCCAAGCAGCTTATGATAAACCGGTGCACTTGATGAGGACTCAAAAAGTCATATATTTCTTAATTGCCTGAAGACATTCGAGAGCTACCGGGGCTGAAGAGATGGGGAAATTAGACAGCGATCAAAGATCAGATCGGTTTCCCCTCCTGAATAAGATAAATAGCTGAGGGCCACCAATGCTAGCACCATTCCAGATCAATGAAACAAGCTAGGGCGAGGGAAACACAAAAGGAAATTATTTTAAAGCATTAGAGAGCTACAGAAGGAACTAGGACTGCAGAGGTGAAGTGAGCTGACACGCTGCAGCCATGTGGTACTTGGCTGTGCTTGCCGAATCTGGTCAAGGGCAAGCAGTTGAAAAGCTGGGGTTTGCCTGGGCAAAGGGCCACAGGCATCGACAGAGCTACTGTCTCATAGAGCAGAAAACAAAACTGAACTCTCCGGGAGACAACATCCTGGTGAGGAGGAGGGGCAGCAAACTGGACCTGGCAGTGCATTTCCCCCTCAAGACATTGGCCATGTTCTGACGCTGCACAGAGTAAGAGGCAAAGAGGCTCAGCAGAAAACCTCTGAAAAACACAGTGGAGTTCTGGGCGGTCTGGGTGTGTGGAAGAACCCAGGATTAGAGTTTAAACGCGTCAATCAGCTTCGGACTCACCCTCCTCCCACAGGCTCTCAAGTAAATGTAACTGATAACATCTTCAAAGACCGCATTTCCAAACAAGGTCAAGTTCACATTCACTGAGGATTAGGACTTCCACATATCTTTTTAGGGGACACGATTCAATTTATTACATACCTAAGTATGAACGGTCAGGAAAGAGAAAGAGGGATTAGGAAAACTAAGAAGTAAGGTTCGGGTTAAGGGAAAGATGATACTGGGGGGAAAGGAGAGAAAGAACCAAGAGGTCAGACTTTGCTATTTCTGTAACCTTGAGCAAGTTTCAGCCACGCTGGGCCTCCACTTCATCATCTATAAAAAGCAGTGGGTGGAGGACTCTTTGGAACCATTAAATGGCTCTGGTCTGTGAACAGGGGCAGTTATAGACTTCACACCGCATTAGGATAAGGGCCTCAACCTTGACTGCATGTCAGAACCACGTGGGAATCTTTTAAACAGTCCAGGGCCCAGCCCACAGCTCGGAACAATTAACTCAGAATCTCTGGGGCGAGGACTCAGGCATCCTCATGTTGTAAAACTCACCAGGTGAATCCTACTGCTATCAGCCAATCTAACAGCAAGCATCCATTCCTTGTCAGAAAAAAAGGGGCCAGTCCATGTGTGGGGAGTCATCAAGACAGGATATGGGACACTGGTCTGAGTTTGGGATCCCTGACCACTAAGAAGAATGTGTGTTCAGGCCACACTCTCAGTAGTTGCTTAAAACATGTAGAGCAGGGAGATGAAAATTGAGCTACCAAGGGCTCAAGGAAAAAGAAAATGTTTTGAGAATGATGTAGGCAACAAATGTACAAATGTGCTTGACCCAATGGATGGATGGATGGATTGTGATAAAAGTTGTACGAGCCCCCAATAAAATGATTTTTGAAAGAAAATTGAGGAGGAGCTTTCATTGCAGATTAAAGGACAACCCAAGTACTTTTGCATTCCTATCGAGGAAGATTCCGTTTACTAAGCACGTAGGAATCTCTAACTTTTCCATTTGGGGACAAACTTAAAAGAGAGCCATATGTCCTTCCTTAAATTTAACCAATTGGGGATGAAAGGCAAAATATCATGCATCCCAACTTCAAGTAATTCTCCCATGGTCCATCTTAAAAGAAGAATTGCTTCTGCAGTTATATGAAGTGTGTATGATTCTATGTACAGAAATGGCCCCAGAAACACACTGCTCTGTGACTGGGTCTTCTTTCATGGGCAGCTCAGAGACAAGCTGGACAGCTAGAGCTGACCAGAGTCATGCCTGCCTGGAGATCAGTCCTTTTTTAAGAAGGGGGCTTTCTAGAGAAACAGCATTTCTATGGGAGATCTCCAAGGAGAATGTCTAGCAGAGGAACACCAGGTAAAAAGTCACCATCCAGCCAGGACCCTGGCATGAGACATTGAAGAGGCATTTCCATTCTCTAGCTCTTTAGTCAGTTTGTTTCTTCTCAAAACATTTTTTACTTGAGCCCTCTAGCTCTTTGGTCAGTTTGTTTCTTCCTTTATAAAGTTAAGCAGTTGAGCCCCATGGTCTTCAGGTTCCCAATTAGATTCAAATTCTATCCCACCCACCCAATCCCATGAGAAGAGGGAGTTCTCCCTTATGGAACCATCATCATGGATAGAGAGAGGAAATGAAATAGAGATCTTGAACTCAAACACCTACAGAGGCCAGGTGGGTGGCATAGGACAGTAAGCCAGGGGGTAGGGATAGTGAAGAACACAAGATCCCATCTAAAGGGGTGGGGAACACTCAACTCAGATCATTGTCATCATGAGAGATCGATCCAATTTTGGCGGGGGTGGGGGTGAGTTCAGATTTTTAATAGTTTGTTGATTGTTTAATCTTGGCAATCAATTCTTTTTTACAATAAATAAAGGCAACTTGGCAGGTGGAACAAAATGCATCAGTGGCCAGATATGATCAACCTCTGATATGGAAGATATATGATAAAAATGTATTCTTTATCACTGAGTCTACAGCTTGATCATTCCTTTTATCCTGAGTTTAAGAGTTACTGTGCAGAAGCTGTTTCTGGAATCTTTGGCAAGAGGCACGGTACGAGTTCATAGAACTGCTACTCAACGACCTCAGCTCCCTCCCTGTGGTCCTGAAGCAGCAATGAGTTTGGCCCCTTCAAGAAGGTGTTGGAATAAGAGCTGAAACCCACTCAGCCGTCTCATACCATCTCCTCCACTAGTCACCATTGTAAAGCTGAGAAGTAACCCCAAGCTGAACTACAATCAAGCAGTGTGTGTGTGTGTGTGTGTGCGCGCGCGCGCGCGCGCAGCATCCACAGGTGGAGGCAGTTGAGGGGAATATCACGCTCGTGTACACCGCTACCTGCAAAGATCAGGTGTTAGTAATTCGATCACTGACGAGGTTAGGACCATGTGAATATCCTCATGCAGAACCAATTTCTGGGCTGAGCATGCTCTGCTCAGTTGTTAGGTAAGCCAAACAGGAAACTCCCAGTTCATGGTTCTTACTTGTCTAACTGTGGTTTGAAAAAAGAAAACATACTCAGGTCTTATATCAAACATATTTATTCTTAAAGTGAGCAGCTCATAAAGAATAGCTATAGGAAAGTGTAATATTTACAGTAAAAAAAAAACACCTGTGGGTGCTAGCCAAACTTCAAATACTGTCATAGCAGGGTCATTCCAGTAGCATTTTTCTGGCATGGCAGCTAGAAACAAACATTTAGGGACTCTTGTCCTTGAGAATGGGTGGATATTACAAAACGGATTTATGCCCACTCCAAAAAAATTATTATTACAACACATCCAAAACAATGCATATCCATTTAAAAAGAAACATCTTGCTTTCAAAGAAACTAAGTCAAAAGACAGTCAAGGCAAAATAGGCAAGAGATAGATTGCTTCATCTATGTGTAAGGCACCGGATTCTTACATAGAGAATCCTAGTGTCAGCCCTCACTTCAATCATCACATTGAAAAAGTGTGGCGACAAATAACAAGTCACCTTCAATATGAAGGATGCAAGTTACTGATACTGACAATGCTCTCATAGATACAACAGCATTGCCGGAGGAATGCCAGTCTACAGAGTGGACCTTCTTAGGAGGTTAGCAGATACCCAGTCAGGCTTTGGGGTTAAGTAACTAGTGTTCTGGCTTAATCAAGGCACTTGTAAAGAGTGATCTTTGACATGACCCAGAGCCCCTCCAAATTCCTAGCCATTGACGATGTGGTGGATTTTGGTTACACTGAGACCCCAAGCATGATGCCTTTATTATAATATGAAGACCGCATCCAAGCTCGCTAAATGTTGCCCACATCATGATTGCTTATGAACCACATTTGAACAGAAAGGCTTCCCTTGAGATTTTGATTCTCCTGTTATAATTTACCTTTCTCCAACATCGTTCCATATCCCTTAAAGCTTACTATTTTTCCCCCACAAGGATACAGAATGGATCTTCCCCTCTCCCCCCTTCAAATGATTTTCCCAGACAAGAACTGGAAATCACAAAATAACCTTCCATTTTCTCACCAACAATTAAGTACCAGACCTCCTGCTCACAGCCTGATTCGCTGTGGAGACTTTTGTGCATACTTTTCAGACGTTTCTCGTACCATTAGCCCAGCTTCCCATCACCACCAGTTGTCCTTTATCAGCCTTTCCTTGCCCAACGTGAGAGTTAGTGAATTGAGAAGGGGGAAAGGTATTGAAAAAGTTTTACTTTTCTAAAAATAGGCCTCAGTCTGTTACTTTTTCCTCCTCGAATGCAAACTTGGACGGTGTCAACCCTCCTGACCCCAAATCCACATTCTGAAGTGGCTATCTTCTTTGTAGTCCGGTCTTAAAAGCTCAAACCTAAACCTACTGAAGGAAATTAGTGAAGACTGACTAATATTGAGCAACACAGTCCTAGAATTACATCAGGGACGATAACAGATCAAGACCAGTCACTAGGTTACTCAATTCAACGATAAGAGGCTAAATTCTCTATTCTCCCCCAACTCTGCCATTCTGGGAAGAACCCACTAGCCAGCCTCGGACTTCCAAAGACTGGTGACTCCAGCTCAGTTTTGGGGGGCACATGGTGGAATGCACAGTCCTTGTATGCCATCTGCGTCTGCACCCCATCAGGTTTCCACTGCACATGGACAATTCGGTAATTTTGACCCTCGTTGTTGTCCCAGAACACCTGCCCATTGGCATGGTAAGAGATGCAGAACTCGATTTTCTCCTCTGTTGGGATGACTTGGGGTAAGTCAATGGCAAATGAGAAGGTGTCGCTATCGGAGCCACCATACACATTTTTCATGTATACACAGTCCACATCGGTGTGGCTTTTCCAAGTGTCAAAAGTGACACGGACCTGAACTTTCTTCTGAAAGCTCACGTTTTTCACTTTCACAGTTCCGGTCACTGCTCGTTCCTGCAAGGTGCAGTTTTCCAGACACACAAAGTTCTTCTGAAAGTGGTTGCGGAACGTCAGGTAGTCGGAGGAAGGCTGTGGGAAATCCAAAATCAAGTTTTTCTCCTCGTGGAGCTTTAGGCTGGAGGAGATGTCGTTCAGGTCCAAGAGATCAAACTGGAGATCCCAGGCTGGGTCTTCCGGGAGGTCAGAGAAGACGTGGATGGCAGTGAGAGACAGGCCCTTGGAGTCTGCAAATACGACCCGCTTCTTGGCTTGGTTGTGGGAGCGCTTCCAGCCGTTCTGGGACTTGGCTTCCTGTTTCATATTGAGGCATGATTTCAGAGGCTTCAATTTGTTCACAAAATTTCTTCGCTGAAAGTCATCATACGGACCCAGGAAGCTCTTTAGAGGTGGTGAATGAGCCAAGCAGAACCTCATGGCTACATCCACTGGCATGACTGAGCTTGTCAAAGGCCGTGGATCTAACACCTGGATCATTCTGGAATGGAATAGGAAGATGGGGTTATCATTCGAGGTCTGGAATATTCTTCTACGATCTCAAATACATACTTGCATGTACTACTTCTGCACTGACTGATTTACAGCAGTGCCGTAATTATGAGTTGCCATTATATGTAGCAAAAGAGAACATATGAAGTTATCTATATTCTAGGTTCAGCTCCACCCTTAACTGGCTACAAGGATGCAGATTAGCTGCTTCAAATACATGGAGTCTCAGTTTCACAATCCGAGAACTAAAGAGGCTGGACTTGATCACCTCTAATACAGCCTTAGGAACCTATTGCTCTGTACTGGACTACAATTCCTGGGCCATGGAGCCACTGAGGCAGAACCTCCGGGTGTGAGTCCAGTATGTGCGTGCTTTCTTAAAGCTTCTTGAGCGCTTCTTGTAAGCCTTGGCTCCACCCCCTGAATCCCTTCCTTTGCTGATTTTCCTATTGATTATGCTTCTCTGGAAAAGGAATCTATCTATTTAGGAAACAAAAGCAATATGCATTCTCATGGAGTTTTGAGTCTGTGACGTTTTGAGGGTGTGAAGACTGGAAAGAGTGAAGTCAAGGGGTCATTTTTGCACTTGAACTATTGTGCCCTTCCTCATTTTTCACAAATGTGTGACGGGAAAGTCAGCAATGTGCATGCTTCAAAATACTTTGCATAATCTGTATTTAATGAAGAAAGAAGTCCAATACAGGTCCACATGTAAGTGGAGGGAAAACGGATTACCTAAAAAGTAGACCATTTCTGAAATATGTTGGGTAGTCCCTGAGTAATAAATAAGATATATTCCAAGTGTATGAATATCTTTAAATTGAATTTGTAGGTAAGGAACAGGTGCATATGCAAAAAGCTCTTAGTTTACTTTACTTCAGTGCCCCCAAAACAAAAAACCTCAAAGCTTTTCAATGATTTAAGAGCTGCTCATACAGCAAGTGAAAGTGGATGGGCTAAGAATTTGTTGGGAGTAAGGGGGTTGGTTGTATTCAAAGTGAGGTCAATTTTGACTAAAATTTAAAGGGAAAATATGATTTGTCAGTAAGTCTGGTCGTTGGAACCTGGGAACTTACTACATACAGTCTTTAGAATTGGGGGGAATTTTCTAGGAAATACACCAAAACATTAACAATTGTCTCTAGGTGATAGGATTGTAGGTGATCTGTTTTTGTCTTTCTTATATTTCTTTAGTATTTTCTAATGCCTTTGGGGATGAACATATTATTTTTGTAACTAGAAAGACGATAAAGGGATTTATTCTATTACACTCAGCAATTTAAATCTAAAAGTGTCTGTCAATACGTGGTGGACAGCCCCCACTTCACCCCAACCCCTGGCCCTGGCATTTAGCCATCAGTAGATATTACCAAGCTTACAGAACTGGGCCTTCTTTCACTACCTTGCCCTTATAGATAAGAGGCGTGTGCATTCTGTACATGACAGGATCTTCAGTACACTGCTCACAGGAGCGGTAGTCATGTCCGCAAGTGGTTAGTATCTCAAAATGGACTATCAGGAGAATTCGCGGAATTTATGAACTCTGGGATTTTTTTCTGGGAGCCCTACAAACTTAGAACAAACAAGGCTAAGGGAGTATCTGTGAGTCTAATCATAGTTGCCAAGTTGAATTTTTAGTGATGGCTGCTGCTAAATGATGCCTGAAGAAGCTATTTAAAGTTGCTGTTATTTCTTTTTGCATTTATAGAAAGATGGGTTCAGTGTTGAGGGGCTGCTCTACAATTTTCCTTCCTAGCCAAGAGTGAAAAAATGATAGTTTGCTCAAACTCTGAGACCGAGTTAGTTGTGGCAAATCTGTGAAAAGTGAAGAACTATCAAAGGTAAACAAGGATCCAGTCATTGTTTAGGCTTGGTTTTTGTTTTGTTTTTCCAAGCTAAGCTTCCTAACCAGTGATGTCAGCGTTACCAACTGTTCTTACAAGTTAACCCACCTGAGTTCTTGGGACTTAAATCAAAGCCTAAGAATCAATGAGGAAATCAATGAGCTGATGCTGCTGGCGCACACGCAGTTTCTGGTTTAGGCTGCCGGTTGATTATCAAACAGGCTCTATTCCCAAGTCCTCCCAAACCTCTCTGCCCCCAAGGTGCCCAGTACCTATTAACTCGGTAGTCAGTCCACCTGTCCTCCCTATGCAGGGGCGTCGGGGGAGGGAGGTAAGGAGTACCCAGGGGCAACCCCTACATTGCGCCTCGCCCTTAACTACGCGATGACAGCTGCCACACTTCCGCAGAAACTCCTGCTCCCCTCTGGTCCCGCTGTCACAGCCCGGCGCCTGGCACCTGTGTGGCGCCTGGGGATGCCACCCCGCGCCTCTTTGGAGTTGCAGCGGAGGCGGGCCAGTGTCCCCTCGGACTCCGTCCCTCGCTAGCCTCGGCCCCTAGGGTCTCCATCCAGCCGCAGCGGTGCCCGGAGGACCCGCAGCCCGCCTGCCCTGCAGCGTCGGTGGCGAACGTACCTGGTGCAGCTCATGGGGCAGAGCGAGGGGTCCGGGCGGGCCGTGGGCACCGGCACGCCAGCTGTCAGCGCAATTCGCACCGGGTGCGGAGCCCTCAACCTCCGCGGTGCCCCCAGGCGGATGGCGGGGCCCCGAGAGCCCGCGGGCCCACTTATCTTCTCCGAACCACGTGAACGAATCGTGCGGACCAATCGCCGGGCCGCCTGCCCCACGGCCCGACCAACCAGCGCCGAGCTGGGGCGCGAGCCCTCGCCGGGGGCACGTGATCACCGCGGGGGCCGGAGGGGCCCGGCGCCGAGAGCTGGCGGCCGGGCGAGGCTGCGCGGTCGCTCCCTGCAGAAAGTCGCGAGCCGCAGCCCGGCGGGGCGCCAGCTCCGGTGGCCGCAGGCCCGGAGAGGGCCCTGTCTCTCACGGACGCCGAGCCCAGAAAGGTGAGGCTCGCTGCAGCGCATCCGTGCCGGACGTGTTTGTAGGGTTCTTCGTTGGCTGGTGCCCTGGCACCCTCTCCGCCCCGCCCCCCTGTCCCACCCCCACCCCCGCCGTAGCCGGGTGGACTCAGAAGTTGGCTGCTGTGGGATAAAGTGCATCTGTCTGTGCACCACACACCAGACAGGAATTGCTGGTTTCCCTAACAAGTGAACGCCTGCCGGCCCCCTAAAGCAATAAGATGACACGGTTCGTTTTCAAAGGCATTTGTTTGTTTGTTTGCTTCCACCTGCCCTTCCATTTTCTCTGTGGAAGAGGAAACGAACACCAGAAACGGCCAGTTCGCTCACGGAGTGAGCAAGAGCCGACCAAAACCGCGCCACTCCATGGGGTGTCCTGTGACAAGGATGTGGAAATCGCAATGCTGAAAGAGCACGTTGGTGTTTCACGACTCCTTTGCGGGCTTATGATTACTTTATTGTGTTCTTTCGTGTCCTTGGGGAAAATTTGTAGACTATCCGTTACAGGTATAACATCAAATTTCTATGTCAAGTATATTCATTTTATGTATTGAAACCCACATCCTACTTCTGTCCTATAAACTTAGATAGCCAACAGTCAATTGAAAATGCAAAGGATCAACATCCCCGTAACGTTTTAAGTAACTGTCAAACAGTGGGATTGTTAAAGCTGAGTTTTTAGAGTGAAGAAAAGTAAATGCATGCTGAATATCACTGGGAGAGATACTTAAGACTTGGGGCTTTGCTTTTTAAGTGAAATGTCCAACTAATGGTCTTCTAGCCCCTTGACCCAACCCAAACTAACCTTGATCTCTTCTTTACTAAACATGCTGCCCTTCTCCAGGGACTGTTCCTTTCTGGTAACATGCCCAAAGGGTCTGAGGCTAACCAACCAGAAGAGCCAACCAGAAATCTGTAGTCTTGGAAAAAGTATGCTAAAAAGTCTCTGAGAAACAAGGCCGCCAACAGTTTGCTGTCTCATGTACTTTATGTCACATAATTGTTTTATAGCCATAAGCAATTAGAATGACAGAGGTGGCAAGTTCCTTAGGTGTCATTTTGGCTTCCAATACCCGATTTCCCAAATGAGCAATGTCGACCTGCTTGCCAGGGCCTTGTTAGGTTCGAGCCAAAACTGGAAACCTGGGTAGGATGATGTTATGGAGAGACAACATAATATTTTATTGTGATCCCTCTTGTCCAAGAATGAGGCAATTAAGAAATCAAACTGCGCAGTGCATTGGGAAAATCTGCTGCAAAAGACCTCTTTAATGTACTCACACAAAAGGTCTCACTTGGAAGGCTAAGGTGCACCCGAACCATGCCAAGCTATTTTCAATTGCAAACATATGCATATGAAGCAGGAGTAAGAAGAACCAAAGAAGTGGAAACTAGTGAATATATACCATAGCCTGTCAGAAGAACAAACAAATCTGTGTTGGAAAAAGTACCCTAACAATGTTCCTTAGACGCAAGGATGGTGAGACGTTGGATGTGTTATCGGAAGGGACCAACCCCTGGAGAAGCAAACCACGCTTGGGAAAGTAGAGGGCCGGGAAAAGAGAAGACCCTCAAGGAGATGAATTGACGCAATGGCCACAACGGTCAGCCCACAGTGGCGAGAACAGAGCAGCGTTTAGTTCTGTTGTTCATGAGATGATTGTACTATGCATTAGAACCAACTACATGGCACCTGCAACAAAAGCATTTGGGAAAAGGGCAAGATGTACATGCATTGAAAATGGAATATGCCCCACCAAAATGCCAACGGTGCTGTTTGTGGACGAAACACAACCTCACCACCATCAGGTTAATTCTGACCCGTAGTGACCCTCGGGGACTGATTAGAACCCTGTGGGTTTCTGAGACTGTAAATCCTCACGGGAGCGGAAAGCCTCACCTTTCTCCCTCAGAGTAGCTGGTGGGTTTGAACTGCTGACTTTAGAGATTAACAGCCCAATGCATAACCCACTGTGCCATCGGGGCTCATTTGTTTGAGAATGGTGAGACTAAAAGGCATTTTGTTTGTTTGGTCACTTTGTTTCTTTGTATTTTTTATTTATCTACAAAGAAATTGAAGACTTCTATAGTTAAGGAAAAAATGTAAGGGTTTAAAACCTTCAGACTCAGCTGACATGAAGAGTCTACCTACTAGATTCAAGGGACAGTGATGGAGGTTTTCACGTACCTCATGCCACTTCCAGCCCTTGGAGGTTGCCCTTGCTTCCCTACATCCTGTTTGCTCTCCTGCCCCCTGGTGCCGACTCATGCCACACAAACTGCTCTCTCTTGTGTGACTCAAACAGAAGATTCAGGAAAACAGCACCCTTTCCTAAGAGGACTCAAATTCCAATGAGCATTCAAGACCCTGACCCCTCACTTCCGTCTTCTCCTTGGCATTTAATGCCCTTCGTTATAGGAGGAATTGGCATGGAATCAGTGAACTAGATCAGGAGCTACAAACAAAGAAGATGTAGTGAATGTGGACTTGTGGGAGCTTTGTTATTTTTGGGAGACTTTTCTCCAAGTGCATCCAGGCATTGTGCTACTTGTCCGAAGAAACTATCTGTCTACAAGAGTTTCTCCAGCTGGGCAATATTTCCAGTGCTGTGTTAGGGTTGCCAGGACTCAAAAGCCACACACAGTATATTGACCTTGAGGATGTTATCATCTTTATTTTATAAAAGGAGATTAAACTCATGAAATACCAGGGACCATTTTTAAAGAGCTACTAGATAAAGGGACCAATGCGGTCTCTTGCGTAATTCACTCAGTACATTACTATATAGAAAAATCAGTCAATCCCTTGTTAAAAAAAAATCCTGGGGTATGAATCCCAGGTTTGCCAACTCATTCTACAATTTTGTCTTTTTAAGTGTCCAGTCAAGAATGTACTTGAGAATTCGACCTTAATTTATTTATATAAAAAGTCGGTACTTTTACCATAATTAGTTATAACTCGGGATGAACCTCTGACCTTCATGCCCCACAGTCCAGACTCTAGAGTGAGGAAGGTTGAGAACTGCTCATTTTGATGAATGGGGTTGGACTTTTATTTGTGAGAACAGAGAAATAGCAGTTCCCATGGCCTAGTGAATAATAAACTCGGTGGTACAGCAATTCATTCTTCCTGCTTTAGTCATATTGGATGCAACTATCAATATTAGGAAATGAGTATAATTTTAAAAAACAAAATAAAACCCTTAAACCCTTATTCAGTTGACCCTTGAACAACATGGGTTTGAACTGCACAGGTCCACTTATAAACGGATTTTTTAATGCTGTGTGACTAATTTGTCTCCCCAGTAAACTGAATATGATCTGTTAGGGTTCACTTGCATTTTCAATCATGTTTATAGGAATACCATGAACTTTGAATCACGCCGTGGGACCGAGGTGGAGCGTCACTAGAGGTACTGGAAGTGCTCCCAAGAGACAGAGTGAGATCTGGCATGACAAGTAAGAGTTGATTTGCTGGAAATTTACTGTAAATCAAGGTCAGCAATTGCCCAGAATTTCAAGAGAAATTAATTCAGTGGAAAAACCATTGTCAAAAAGAAAAAGAAATCTGTGAAGCTAGTGCTACACTTTGGGGGAAACACCTTCTTATCTCATATTGAAAATGGGCAGGCACAGAAAATGCTGTCTTGGCATGCTTCCAGGCTATAAGATTTGGGTTGTTTTGTTTTATATTCTGTTTATGTTTACATGCATCTTATATTTTCCTGACAATGAAATAAAGTTTTGGGCCTTTTTCCAGAAAAGAAAATGGGCAGGATATACTCCATGTAACATACGAAATATGTATGTGTTAATAGACATTTAAATTTTCTGTAGGGTTCTGGTCAACCATTTTTAAGGAGTCAAAAGCTGTATTCAGATTTTCACCAGCACAGGGATCGTTGCCTCATCCTTGTGTTGTTCACAGGTCAAATGCATAGTGTTTACTTTGGGCAAGGCACTGTTCTAAGCTGCTTATAAATATTTGCTCATTTAATCTTTATAAGAATCCGGTGAGATAGAAGCCATGATTATTATGGGGGGCACCAGCCTCCCCACAACTGAATGGGTCCAAGGGGAAATTGTATAACTGAGAGGAAAATTAAATGAACATCAGACAAGGTATGCAAGGACTCACTTCTTCCGTGAAGACCGGAATCAGAGCGAGGGGCATGTATTCTCTCGCAGGCTTATATAATCTCGGGCATGGAAGCCACCGTAAACACATACATACCAGGAAGGGGTTGTATTAGAGACATACACATAACAGGAGGGGGACGAGCTAGGGGTATACACACAATAAGAAGGGAGGTTCTAGAGGTGTACAGGTGACAGAAAGGTACATACCCAACAAGATGGACAGATTCTAGAGCTAAATTGGTGGCCCAACCTTCGTTGGCTCTGAGCCGACTTGACCTTAACTGTTCCTGAGCTCTTCTCCAGGGGAATAATCTAAGATCCTGTTCAGAAGGGAGTGCGACTTACTTAGGGTGGGACAGACAATGTAGTTTGACTCTTCTCAATGGCAGACAGCCTTTAGGCAGATCGCCTTCCAGCAGTTAACTTTCAAGAGTATAGTAAGCAACCATGTGCTTGCAAGTAGCACCTGAAAATTGGCATTGTTACGGGGGACATCATGAGGAATAACTTTTACTTAGT